CCCCACATTCCCATCAGCATGGGTGTCTTAAATCCCTGGTTGTAGTTGCCTCCGTAGTGGATGGCTTTGGAGAGATTGTTTGTGTTGGTGGCACTAGAGTGGTACCTGTATAGACCCTGGGAGTAACGGACACAGGGGTTCCAGCTTAGCCCTAGTTCCTCACGGTGTCCCTGTTCATCACCACTTCTGAATGTCTATCTGAGCCCAGACCTTCATAAAGCTTTAGGAAAACTCCTGCACCATGACCCTTGGCCCACTCCTCTGTCAAGGGAGCATTCCACACACTTCATCAGGCACATCCGAGATCCCTTCATCATCAGGCAGATCCGAGATCCCTTCTTCATGATGCCATGACTCCAGCTGCCATTTTTCCCCCGTGCTCTCCATCCCCGTGCCACCTGCTCCATTTCCAGATGGTATCGGGGCGCTGCTCTCAGTGGCTCTTCTTGGCTGGCATCCTGCCTGTCTCTGGTATCAAAGCAAGTCCGATCCTCCTGCTCCCTGCCCCCACCCCCACCCCCAGGGTGTGGAAAGCGAAGATAAGGAACTGAACTGTGGCTGGGGATTTGGGAGGAAGGTGAAGGCAGGTGAAGTGACAGCCACCACTTCAAGGCAGAGATCAAATGCCGCTCCTCAAGCTCTTAGAGAAGAGGGGTGCTCGGTGTGTAATCCTCGGGGACAGGAGCGTGGGCTGAGCGTGGACCAAAGGGAAGAGGATCAGCGTGTATTAAGCGCTGACTGTATGCCAGGCACTTTACATACATTTTCTACTCTAATCTCCCACGACAAGTTTGCAGCCCGGCCTTCCTATCTCGTTCTTACAGACTTAACCAGCTAAGCCAAGTCGGGGGGGGGGGGATGGGCACGGTGCTGCTTAAGGAGACTTGATGGCCAGGGGTTTTAATGATCCTCCTCTGTCACAAAAGACCTGTGTCTTGCACTCTGAGCCCCGCAAAACTCTTTGAGTAAAGGAGAGGCTAAAGTCTGTTTCCCAGGTAAGAGGATTGAAGCTAAGGCAGTGACAAGACACAGCAAGGCTGTCGTGGTTCCAGAGTCTCTCCTAGATGACCTGGGCTACCCCACAGCGTCAGCAAATGTCCTCTCCAGGGTCTGGTGGGGGTCATCAGGAAAAACAGTTGATATTAAACATTGAAATAATTTTCAGTGTTGAGGTATCTCAGGGTCTTTGCGGGATAGACATGAACTAAACATTTGTGTGCATTCATGTGTGTGCAGGTATACACATGTGTGGGTGCACATGCATGTGGAAGCCGGAAGACACCCTTGGGTATTCTCCCTTAGGAGCCCATCCATCTGGTTTTATAGGCGGTGTCTCTCACTGTCCTGGAGATCACCAAATAGGCTAAACTGACTAGCCTCAGAGCTCCATGGAACCACAGATCTCTGCCCGCACAGCCCTGGAATTATAAGCATGCACTACCACACCCAGCTTTTAAACCAGGATCCTGGGGAGCAAACTCAGGTCTTTGTGTGTGCAAAGCAAGTACTCTCCAACCGAGCCAGACTCCCCACCTCCAGACTAGAAGGTTTTTTATCCATCCATCTAAAATTCAAATTTTATTTAGCAGTCTGCATTTTGATTTGCTTCATTTAGACCCTTCATTTCCAGCCCCAAATCTGAAAGTGATTCCCCAGGAGTCCTTCCTTCTGTCTTCCCTGCTCCTCCTTCTGGTACTGCCGCCCTGCCCTGCTCTGCCTGTGTCCAGGTCCAGCCTCCCCTGTGTCATTCCAGTGTGCACACCACATACTAGCACATAGGCCCACACGGGATTATCTAGAAATGCGATTCGGTAATCTGGCTAAGGAGGTTAGCCTGTTAATAAAAGGCGCCCCCCTCCATTCTTCCCAAGGTCCATTAGAGAGGGAGCCATGGGGGTCTGCACACACCATAATTGTCTAACCAGTCATCACTTGCTCACACTTAGATAAAGAACACCCGTGTTTATCCAACTTAAGGCCCCATCTAATTATCTTCTTCAGACAAATTCTTGGAAGGCCAATTGCCTGAGCCAAAAGGGGCTGCGGGCTTTATACTTTGCTGCCCAAGTCCAGCATGTCCTCGGGAAAGAGAGCCTCATGTATGTTTGCAGTAGCAGGCACGGCAGGCTGGGGCCCACTTCCCCTCACCTTGCCTACCCTGAGTGCTACTGAGGTTTAAATCAGTTTCATTGATTCAAATGGGTGGAAAATGAAATCTCATTTGCGGTGACAATTTACGTCTCTTTGATGATAGGGAAGGTGGAACACCTGTCACCACTTACTGGCCATTTGTGGATCATTTTCTAAATTGCCTGTCCCAGTTTTTGCTTACTTCTCCATTGGGGCTGTTAGTATGTTTCTTATCTCCTTTGCATATTAAGGATATTAATGTGGTGGCTTCTCTTTTGATGTGTAGCAGTTTTAATTTATATGTCACTAATTTAAAATTTTAATTAAAAAACTTTTTTGATGACATTTATTTTGGGCGCCGTGCTCAGAAAGGCCTTTTTTTTTTCTTCCCCATGCCAAGATCAGATGAATAATCATTTAAAAGTTCATCTTATTCTCATATGTGTATGTGCTGGCACGTGTGCCTGTGTGTAGGTGCTCATGTATACACCCAAAGATTAACCCTGAGTATTGTCCTTCAGTCTCTATCCCTCTTTGTTTTTGAGACATAGTCTCTCGCGAGCATCAGCTGAGACTGTTTAGCTGGCCAGAGAATATCAGGGGGTTCTCCTGTCTCTGCAGCTCCGATGCTTGGATTCCAAGCACACACTACAACGTTAAACTTTTTACATGGTTCTGGGAATCGAACTCAGCTCTTTGTAATTGACCAACTGAGGCCACTCCCCAAGTCTTCATTCTGATCCTTTGTATAATTTTTGGTTTTTACTTTAAACCCCCCTGGAGGTGAGTGACATTTGTCTTGGAGTCTATGACTACCTCCCAGCATGAGAGTAATGTTCATTGTGTCAGTCCCTGAAGGTGGGAAGCCTGGACCTTCCCCAGTGTGACCCAGAGCGTCCCCCAGATGCCTCTGGCCTTGCTTCCCTTGCTTCATTCTCTCCCCTCAAGGCCTCACACTTCCCAGCATTCTCACAAGGCACTCAAGGACAGTGTGAGGTTGTTTGTGTCTATCCCAAACTGGGTATTGTGTTTGTGAACACATCAGACATGTCAGTGGGGAACCAGGCTGGTGGAGGCCTTCAATCCCTGTACCCTAGGAGCTGAGGCAGGAGGATCTCCAAGTTTAAAGCGTGCCTGGGCAACAGAGTGAATTCTAGGTCAGCTTGGAAAAAAGATACAGAGGACTGGGTATGTAGCTCAGCGCTATGGCACATACCTAGGATGTGTAAAGGCCCTGGGGTTCAGTCCCTAGTACTACAGGAAGGAGGGAGGGAAAGGAGAGGAGAAAGCCAATTAGATTAAAGTCCAGGACGGCTTGTCATGGCTGACCTTCATGTAAATCTCCTGTAGACACTCTGCTACTTGGAGAAGACAAGTCCATCTGAGAGCTGGGTCTGGGTCAGTTTAGATCTATTCAACAGAGGTGATCTCCAAAGAGGTATTTCTTTGTTGAGTGTAACTGGTCTTGGCTGCTCCCCATCCAAGTGCAGGAGGAGTTCTCAAAACCCAGACCTGTCCTGCCCCATCCCTAACTCCATCTGGAGGCTGGAAGGATGAAGAACAGTTAGTTTTGTAAACTCTCTGGTGATCACATGGGTGAGGCAGCACAGGACAAGGCTGAAGAGCCTGGGTTTGGGGCTATGTTTTTGGTTGTGTTTATATTTTTGGATTCCTGGAATCCTACGCCTCCTTCAAGTCGCCCTTCCCTCGAGTAACTTATTCATTTCTCTGCGCTCCAGCCGTGTATGGCTATTACAAGAAGAGTGTTTATTTAAAAATATCGTTGTATGCATATGTGTATGCATGATGTGGGTACGTGTGTGTGTTCATGTGTGTGAGTGCAGGTGGACATGCCAAGATCAGAGGACAACCTCGAGTGTGGGGCCTTATCTTCCACCCTGTTTGACGCAGTCTTTGTTTGGCCACGGCGTACACCAGGCTGAGCTGTTTCCAGTGTTCACTTCTTGGCTTGTGTTGTTGCCTTCCATCTCTTGTTGTAGAATGGAATTACAGATATGTACTGTGCATCCACCTATCACATGAGTCCTGGGGATTGCAAGCACTTTACCCGCTGACATCTCCCTGGCTTTGGATGGAGTCTGTCTAAATGAATGATTTGGGCAATTCCAGTGTGCAAAACCTGCTAAGTGTTGAACTGACACCACGTGTTCAAATTCCACACCTGACATCGTAGGACAGGTCATTGTCTAAGCTCAGACACTCCAAAAACACTATGTACACACCAGACTCTGTGTGTCAAGTATGCACAAGACAAGTGTCATTTCTGTGCCCATGAGGGCTCTGTCCCCATAGTTTCTCATAGGTACACAGAAATAGCCCCCAACCTGAGAAACAGACAACATTTGAGAACATCAAATGAGAGACATGTTAGTTAAGAACACTCAGCTTAGCTCTGTAGAGCTATGGTGAAGATTGACGGGAATGCAAGGGTCACAGGAGACCCTTGGCTCAGGACCTGGCACCTGGTCAGTGTTCATTCCCTGCCATCTCCCTGACTAAGTCACTCTCATCTTGTCCTAACCTGACTGAAATTCTCCAGGAGACAGAAGAAATAGGCCAGCCCCACAGAACCCGGTCCCAGCCTCACCCTGAATTTACATAAAATCCTTCATCCAGCTGTTTACATAAAGAAGCCATCTCTCCAGCTGCTCTACTCGAAGGGCCTGGCTGTGGCTTCTCATGAGGAAAAGCAGAGCGATGTTTCCATCCAGGACTCCTGGCCCCACCCACAAGCTGGCCTGCTGGCCATGGATGGAGCACAGTCCCTACCATGCAGCACCCTGGAGCCAGTGAGGCCAAGGCCAGGACATCGTTGCCACTTTCTGCATCAGTGATGCTGGCTTTTCAACCAAGGGTCTTATAGCAGGTTTATTAGTCTCTAGAAGTTTGGAACAACCAATGGACAGGCAGACAGACAGACAGACAGACACACACACCAACACAATATTAGTTCACAGAGTTCACAGATGCTCCATGTCTCCCCATACTGCCCTATGTCACTTGAAAACCTGTGCCCAGAAGGGCTGGCAGTACACATCACATAGTTGGTGGTAGATGCCCTAGCATTAACTGAGCAACTACTGGCTGCAGCCTTTGGAGTCCCATTTCACAGTCCCAGTTTGCACCCGTGGTCCCTCCCCATCCTCACAAAGGGATGGGTGAGGAAGGAGAGCTGTTTCACACAGGATCCCAGCAGGGTGTGCTTCCGTTCCTGGGGGGCGGGGAGCAGGTCAGCTGTGGCACCTCTGCCTTTCCAAACAGGGCCGGATAGTTGGAGATGGCAGTCCTGGGAGGGCAAGTCCAGGGACGACATGTGCTCTTGTGTCTCCTGGAGATGGGGCGCTTGAAGCTGACATCACGGTACCACTGAGCTCCTGAGAAAGCTGGGCTGCAGAGTTAGAGCCCGGGACATTAGGGCCCAAATCTCCCTCCACTTTCCTTTCTTCTTGCAATTAGATAGCTGATTCCCCTCCCCAGGAGCTCTGCTCTCTCCGACAATTTCCTGGTCCTGAAAGAGACTCCAGTTCTGGGGCATTATCCAGATATCTTGAAATTGGGCTAATGGAAGCCATTTGGCACTATATGGATATGCAGTCTGAATATGCAATTTGCTCCATTCAGGTCATTCTGGGCCAAAGCAGCAGGGCACAGGTTCCTGAGGGGCAGAGGTGACCAGTGTCCATTTTCCCAGCACAAAGACCAATGTGCGCCTTTTAAGTACCTGAGTCCATTCTCCACGGCTCTGCCTTGAGAGCGGAAACAGTCCTTTTAATCAGGGCTTCGAATTAGCAAATTAATACACGAGAGATATGACCTTTGAGATGAATTGTACGGCGCTTCTCCACACAGCGGGGGTTGGGATGTTCATGACACGTCTTCTTTGGGCCCACAGATCGTTCCTCATGCCCCTTGCTGATCTCACGTGGGGTGGCTCTCATGTGATAGTGTGCTAGCTCTAGCCATGCCCTGGTCACTTCTCTGTCATGTGGGGGAGGGGGCAGAGGAGTTGGCACTGAGAGGTGGGGTGGGGGAGGCATGTGCCAGCTGTGGAGTTGTACACCATGCTTTGCTATGCCCCTTCTCTTGTTCATCCACTCAGCATGGTTTGCAGCCCCAGACCGCCTCCCAGGGGGCATTAAGGTAGGCACACCGATGCAGAAGCAGCCCCTCCTTTTGTGAATTGCTGTGCCTGGGAACTGAGAACACTGGGGTGGGTTAAGAACGCTGGACGCAGCTAGGCAGGACTCAATGCCCAGACTTCCCTCCTACCAACTGGGAGACCTCGGATGACTCTCCTGACCCCCATGCACCGCATATTTGCAAAGCAGAGGTGGTCACCCACTTTCCCGCGGGGTGTAAGGAGGATTCATAGTTGAGGCGTGGGTACAGAGTCACCGTACAGCCAACACTAGCTCTATCCCACGAGGGAAAGCTACACCCACCCTTGGCTAATGCCAAGGAGATCCAGGTTAGGTCGGCTATGCCCTGTCTCTGATGTGCCTGCAGCAAGACACTGGACCTCTCAGATGCTCTCTTGAAACCTGGGTGACCCTCTTTCTTCCTAGGGGCCGCAAGCATCACTACCAAGCCGTGGGAAGCTCCTAACTCAGCTCACGTTTGACTCCTGATAGTTTCCCTGTCAAAGAAACCACAGCAACAGGTTGTGATGTGCTTCAAGAGTGAAAAAAAAAAAAAAACTTCTTTTTTTTTTTTTTTTGTCAAACCTTTGGTCAGCCTTGCGGTTTTTCAAAGGCGAGGGCGGTCACCTACTTTTTCTGTTGCTCCTGCTGTCGTTGCCGTCTTTCCTTAGCACACAGCTGGGGCCCTGCAATAGTAGCTGGTGCGTGCCTCTCCTGACCTGGATCCCCATGTGTCTGGGCACACGGTGCTGTTGGACAGATTGGCCCCTTGAGTACGTGGCTCGGTGGATGGAGTACGGGCTGAGCAGCCGACTCTTTGATCTCGTCTCCACTGTGAGTACACTGCTGCAGGACTGAACCAGAGTCACAGGAGTGGCGACCTTACTCTGAGCCTTACCTGGCTGTCAATCAAACCCTGGAGCATTGGCATCCCTTCCATCCCTTCCTCCTCCAGCCACAGGCCACTGGCAAGCCCTTGGAGAAGACAGGCTGTCTCCCCAGTCATCCTTCAACCATGCCAAGTCCCCCCTCCCGACTCCCCCAAACTCCTCTAGTCTCTGCTTCATTCCAATCCAGGAGACCGCCTCTGTGCCCAAGATCCCCTGCCTATATGGTATCTTTGCTCCCCAAACCATACTTTTATTTCTGGGCTTTTTGCTCTCTTTGGCTTCTCCATTCCCGAATCACCAATAGCCAGAAGCTTCAGAGAGCACCATGGTTGGAGCCCAGGGGCTGGGGAGAAAATTGACAGCTCCCTCCCTGCTCTGCTCCAATTCACCTGGTCTCCCGACTCTCTTACCACGGATGATGGTAGGAAGCCCACACCATGGGCTTGTCGTCAGGTGTTCATCACAGGGACTGTCGTGGATTAAATGCTGCGAGGACAGCTGTGTGTGCCCGTCAGGGGCCTTGCATACAGTGTATGGCAGCTTCTCAGTAAACGCTGGGTAGGTCCTCATGGGGGAGAGTTTCTAGTCAAGGCAGCTGAGGAGATAGAGCCAGCAAATCAAGACACAGAAAAACCATAAGGCCCCTTAGTTATCAAAGACGGACAGGGCTGGGCGTGTGACTCAGTTGGTAGAGTGTTTGTCTGCCATGCAAGGAGCACCAAGATTCATCTGCAGCACCTACAGAGGGGGAAAAAATCCCAAAATAGCATTGTGTCCCCATAAAACTAAACTACTCCCCCAAACTTTTGATTGGTATAATGCTGGGACAGCTGTGAAAAGAGGGGGGACACTGGCCCTGGTGCTGGTGGTGATATAAATGAGTCCTTTGGGACCATAACCTGACAGCTGTATATCAAAAGTCATAAAGTGCTCATAGCAGTTGACCCACTAATCTCCCTCCAGGGAACAAACCCTACAGAAATAATTCAGCAGCAGAAGAAAGTTCTGTGCACGAGAGTCCTGGTCTCAGCATTATTTATAATGATGAGGAATTGGAAACTGTAAAAACGTCCAACAATTGGGGAATGGCTGGGAAAGTTATGGTGTCTCTGCCTAACGGATTTACATGGCCATTTAAAAGTATAATGGCACGACGGAGAAATCCAGAAAGATGTTTAGGGTATGATTTTCAATGACAAAAGTGGAGCACAATGCTTCGCTGTATTTATCACGGCCGTGTTAGGGAGTCTGCTAGCAGTGGGCAGAGTGGGGCGGAGAAGGAGACCATCGACGGGATTTGAAAGTGTTGTTAAAATGTGTGTCTTAATGCATGTGGGTATTTAGCCTGCATGCATGTGTGCACACCGTGTGTGTGCACGTGTGTGCATGTATGTGTATGTGTGCGTGTGTGTGTGCATGTATATGTATGTGTGAGTGCGCGCGCGCGCGCGTGTGTGTGTGTGTGTGTGTGTGTGGTGCTTAAAGAGGCTAGAAGAGGGAGTCAGATCCCTCAGGAACTAGTAGTAGACAGCTGTGAGCTGCCATATGGGTGCTGGGAATTGAACCCCAGTCCTCTGGAAGAGCAGTCGGTTCTCTTAACCACTGAGTCATCTCTCCAGCCCCCTGCCAAAGGTTTCTTTCTTTCTTTCTTTCTTCCTTTCTTTCTTTCTTTCTTTCTTTCTTTCTTTCTTTCTTTCTTTCTTTCTTTCTTT